TGGCGCCCCGCGCCCCGCGCCCCGCGCCGCCGCACCTTGGCCAGGTAGCTGCTGTAGTTGGCGCCCATGGAGGACAGAGCCTTCTTCTTCTTCAGGTCGTCCTCCGCCCTCCTCTTGGCCTCCTCCTCCTCCCGACGGGCCTTCTCCTCCTGAGGAGACCCCGGCCCCAGACCTCAGGGCTGCCCTCACTGGGCAGGTGTTGAGGACCCGCCTGGCCTTGGAAGCTTCCAGAAGCTCCAGGTCCTGGCCTGGGTCTGCCCTCTTGCAGGGGCTCAGCCGGGGCCTCTGGCCCCTGGCCCAGCTCAAGGGGAAGCTTGGAGAAGGGCGGGCAGACAGAGCACCTGGTGCTTCTGGGGCTCGGGGTCTGGGGCGGGGTGGGGGGGTGCCCAGCCTCACCGCCAGCCGGTTCTGGCGCTCCCGCTCCTTCTCAGCCCGGATCCTCTGCTGCTCTGCTCTCTCCGCACGGCGCTTCTCCTGCGGCCGGAGGAGCAGGTCAGCCAGCCCTGCCGACGCCCACCCCATCGGGGGTCCGCCTGCCCCGCCTCGGCCCGGAGCTGCCCACTCACAATTCTCTCCTTGAGTGCGACCAGCTCCTCCTCCTCCTTCTTCCGCGCCTCGAAGTGGCTGTCAATGAGCGCCTGCAGCTCCATGAGGTCTTTGTTCTGACGCTTCTTCTGGATGTCCTGTGGCGGGAGAGCCGCGTCATCCCCACGCCTCCTCTGGAGGCCCTGGCCCTCCTGGTGGCACCTTTCTGTGCTCCAGCCGGGAGCCCTGACCCACCTGGATGCCAGGACAGCTGAGAGTGGCAAGGGACCTTCTGGCCTTGCCTTGTCCCTGCAGTTCCCTCCTGGGGGCTAGGGGCTGCCTGATCCCTTAGCCACAGGGTAGGAATGGTGCCCTCCCTGTGAGTGAGTCTGGGCCCTGCACAGCCCTGAGGTCGTTTGTCAGCCCCTGGGATGGGCGGTCTCCGACTTGGCCTTGCTATTGTGCTCAGAGATGCCCTGAATGGACCAGGCAGAGAGGAAGCTGGGGAGTGGGGCAGTCTGTGGGATACACAAACGGAGAAGTGGGTGGATGGATGGGTGACTGGGCAGACGGATGGATGATGATGGATGGGTGGGTGAGTGGTTGGCTGGGTGGTTGGATGGACGGATGGATAAGTGGATGTATGAGTGGTTGGATGGGTGGGTGGGTGGATGGATGGATGAATGGTTGGATGGGTGGGTGGGTGGGTGGGTGGATGGGTGGAGGAAAGGACCGATCAGTGGATGGAGGATGGATGGAAGGCTGAAGGAGGAGGAGGGAAGAGTGGCATCTATCACTGGGGGAGTTTCCTCCGGTCCAGAGATGAACTAAGGCAGAACTGCATAGTACCCGGAAGCCCTGCTCTAGAGGAGACGGCCTGCTCAGGATTAGCCTGGAGCCTGAAGGCTGGGGGCTGGTTGGAGGGGACACCATGTTTATCTGGGCTCCATAAACTTACATCGAAGTCTACTTTCTCCCCTTCTGGGATCTTAGGAGCAGTGAGTCTGGAAAAGAGCGAGAGACTCGTGAATGGAGACAAGAGGGGACCCCACTAGGACAGTGGGCCTGGCCCCCACCGGCCTGGCCCCCCACGCTCTCCCCTGGCACTAGGCCTGACCTTTGCTCTTATCAGAGGGGTAACTCACTGTCCCCAGAGTGGCTCGGCCCTTAGAGAAGTTTTCAACCTCTTAGCATCCCTCTATTTTGCCAACTTTTGGACCTCGCAAGGGCTGTGTCACCCCTGTCTGTCCAGGAAGGGCAGCCTTGGTTTCTTTCTCAAACAAATAAACAAATGCAGCTAGGGCCTGCCTGGGAGGCAGGGTGGGCACCGCAGCCTCTCAGGGCCTTTGGCCTCTGCGTCAGGAGCAGCCGTCTCAAGTGATCCTGTGCATTTCTTTGGCTCCTCTCTGAAGTTTATTTCTGGGGACCCAAAGGAAGGGGCTTTGGGTAGGAAGCACCTTGGAGAAGAAATAAGACTCACACCCCCAGATCTGGCCCCCCGAGTCCAGCTGCTGCAGCCATGGCGCCCGGCGCCCGGCGCCCTCCCACCAGAACATTCCAGATGAGCAAGGAGCTCAAACAGCGACACAACAATTTCTTAAGACAAGCCGTAGGGGAAAGGGGAGCCGAATGTGGACCAGAACGTCCTGCACAGGGAGAGGTGGCCAGGTGACCCCAGGCAAACGAAAAGCTGATGGATGTGGAAACAGGCAAAACTTGAAGCGGGGAGAGAGAGAGAGGAAAAAAAAC